CCGTATATGGTCGCAGTTGGATAATAACAAGAGTCAATAGCAGTAGTCCTACGAGGATGACCGCTGAAAGCCCTCTTTTTTTACACCCTCTCACGTTCAAGAGAGCTCAGCAAGCAACGTGGTTGGTCTGCCTCGAACTGTCGTGGGCGGGCCAATAATGACCAACAGTCAACATGAAAGCGAACCAAGCCGACTAATTTGATAGCCGCCGCAGTCAAACAAAGCAAATAATGAGGTCAAAAATTCGCAACGAGCACCACAAACGTCCTCAAAATATCGCCCGTTGGATGTTTTATCCGTGCACAGGCCAGTTTTCTCAGGCGACCAAAAGAACAAGGGGCTGGTGGCCGCTGTTTTCATGCTTCTCTCGAGTAGGCAAAACGACTGCGTACCTGGAGTGTCGTGACTACTTGGGTACAGCGATTCCCATTGTTAGCCATACGCGAGCATATTGGCCTGCAGTGACGCCCCTTTGTGAGACAAAGAGTCCCCGTTCATGACACCAACTCGACACCAATTCTTCGCCGTGGGTCCAGCCAGGGAACATCATAAGAGCAGAGGGCTGGCATGTCTCGATGCAACTCAGATGCAAAACGTCAATTGCCATATACAGGGGTGTGGGATTACTGGTCATCTCGTCACAGCTTGAACCCAGTTTTTCCCTTGGTGCTGTAGCTTTTGTGTTTAAAACAAGCCCTTCCAACGGGGCATGGTGACACAGGCGTCGATCCGCTGGTTGGAAACGACCCTTGTGAACCTGAGCCCTGGAGTTGACTTTCTCTTTCTCTCCTTTCTTCTTTTTGTTTTTCTTCTTTTGGAGAACCTTTGTCGGTACGCAATATGATTGGGTCATGTGGCCTGGTAAACCTGGTTGCGAATATATCCTCACTCTCTCACGAACATACACACCCCCATTCCACATGTGCCCCCTGCTCAGCGAAGCAGAACTCTGCGATCCTTACTTTGAACATGGTACTGGGTGAATCGAAGCAAACAAGGCGGCATATCATGTAAACGTACACAGAAATGCGCCTGCAGGGCAGCCATGGGGCGATCAATCACAATATACACAGCGAATGGGAAAATTAAAAAAGAAGAGAGGGAACCCATCGCCTTCTTAATAACGAAAAATCGAACAACGCGGCTTGTCTTTCCCAAAATGTCTCGAGTCACCTTTTTTTACTTCCTTTGAGGTTTCGGGAGAGCTCGCATTTGACGCGAAATTGTGGGCAATCCAAGTCTGCCAACGTGCTCTTCCTGGAAAGGATTTGTCCAAAATCGTTGGACATACTTGGTTGGCCGAACGCACAAGTCTCTCGCTTGTGCGTACGCGGATGGGTTTTGGATTCCTTTTGTGTAACGAAAGGATACGATACGGCTCTTGGAGCAAAATAGCCGCTTTGCCCCATCGTGATATATTTCATTGACCGAAAAAGTTTCCCGGGGAGTTTCTGGCTTGTGAGTCCCCTCTGTGCGTTTCAAAACAACGAATGAACTCAAATCCGCCTACCGGCCAGTTATCTTGTTCTGTTTTCTCGTCGGCGTTTTGTTGTGGGTTCATGGGGCCAGTCAGTACTATCGCCTGGTCAGTGGTAACACCATCATCGAGGCAAGTTACTTATTTTGCACTTTTTGGCTGTCCCAAGACTGTATCCCCCTCCTTTCTGTGTGCTTGCAACATCGGACAGGGAGGCAAAGACACTTTGCTGCTTACCCGGATTGTTTCTTCACAGCCTGCTTGACCATTCTTCAGGTCGTGTCTCACGATATCTTTAGCGACTGGTTCGGCGTTGTTTCTGTGTTGCACGGGAGTCCTAGTCCTTGCGGTGCGTGTTTCCTCAAACGTCCTAGATTGCGAATCACATGCCTCTTGGAAAACAAGAGACAAACTCTGCGGAATCTCTTGGATAAGAGTGAACGGATGACGACATATAAACTGCAAGCGAGAGCAGAGAGCGGACTTGAAGTCATACCTTTTTGTATCACCATTCACGCTGTTGCACTATACAGCTCTTCACTTGGACCCGAGAGAAAAAGCTCCTTTCAGCGTCTCGACGACATAATGCCCGAACACACGGTCGAATGCACCTTCATCATCGAGCCACCGGTCAAGGTACAATGCGGTGGCTCTCTATACCCGCCGTTTTTGCTCCAACTATCCAAGACGGGAGACGATTCTCAGAGCACGTACGTGGCAAACATTACTTTGTTGAATGAGAATGGTGAGAATGTCAGCGATGCTCTTCTAGGACCAAAGAGCGCGCAAGGGGCGTTCCGGCCCGACTCTGAAGGCAGCTACCTCTTTGCCTTTCCAGAGTCGCAGATCTCGACGGAGGGCACATTTCACCTGCGTGCCGACATTTACAAAATGGAGCAAGGCCTCCGTCTGGTCACACAGGTGTCGAGCAGGGATATAGACGCGACAGGAAACACGGTGCCTCGTGCGATACCAAGTAAGTCAACCGAACAGAGGGCGTGCCTCGAAAGAGCTACGCATGTCACGACTCGCATGTATCTAACAGTCGTCTTGTAGCACCCGAAGAGGAGGAGAAGATGGAAATCGCCAGGCAAGCAGGCGCGCTTAAATGACAGGCGGCGACTGGCAGACGCGCAGGACAATGGCGCTGTGGCTACAATAAGAATGACGACAACTCGATGTATTATGGAAACAGGACGTGGGGAAACGACTTGGGATATGGTTTGACTTGGCGTTGGAACCGGGATTACACGCAGCAAGCACATGGCTCTTTATTCAAATGGCAGCAGGAAGTGCTCCTCGCACACATGGCATAATCAGTTGCCGGCCACAATAAAGCTTGATTTACACATGTAACGGCCCTATCGGTTGCCAACGGTAACTCGTGATTGGGCAGCGTCTAATAGTGAGATGGTGTAAACCACGGCACGCTGCAAACATGGCCCAGTACACGATATTCAGGCAAGAAGCTACAAACCGGGCAAGGCGCCCTCTTCTCCCACCATCCCGTTAAAGCAGTCAAGGCTCCAACAACCCCGTAATGGAATTGCTGATACTTCTTTTCTGGTAGACTTTCAGCGGTGATGGATATATCCGTCAACAGGCATGACTATTAATAGGCCCGAATCCTTGAAAGATGTACATCGTTGGAGGCTCGACTGCCAAAAAGGGGATATGCCTCTTCATCGAACATGTTTCCGCTGTCAGAGTATCCCGACAACCCACGCGCTTCGGGCCGGGATACCTACGCCCGTTCCACTCCGAAATATTTCGGAGGCGCCCTGCGTGACGGGCACACCCTACCCCGGGCTGTCAACATCGATCATGTTTCAAGTGCCAAAGGTGCCAGGGACCAGGTTCGGCTGTCACCGCCCCTGATCCGTTGAGTCGGGCAGGTCGATTGCCCCGGGGGTTTGATGGCGGAGAAAGCGCCTTGGTTCCAGTCTAGTCTGAACTGCGGTTTCTGCCTCTTTGCTTTTTTTTGCGAGCGGGACTGTCTTTGATGCCGTGTGATGTCTGGTGGACGCCGATGCGTACAAGCCGTTCGTGCGGCTTGGAACAACGTGCGCGGGGCAATGTGCACCACGGGGGTTTGTCAAAACACACTGCTTAATTTGTCAGTTATTAAAACGAGAAAAAATAATAAAATAAAATCTTCGGAATAAGGTGAAACTACTAATATTATGCTATTTGGCAGCTTTTTTATTAGCTTTTTTGGCTACTATTTTTAGTTGCTTTATTAGCTCCCTCGGGTGCTAGTTTAGCAGCATCTTTGGTGCTTTTTCCCCAGTAGCTACTACCAGAGAAGTATGTAGTAAGTTGCTGTGGCATTTGGAGCTTCACGGATGCAAAGCTGACGACTTGATACAAAGAGGGCGAAAAAGATGCCAGGCCGGTATCAACAGCATGCCCTCTACAACAGAGAAGGACAAAAATGCTGATCCTAGGAAAGCAGGACACCCGATGAAGCTATCACGGATTTAGAGAAGGCTGGAATAAGAGCGGAGCCGGAAAAAAGCACCAAAGAAGCTGCTAGACTAGCATCTAAGGGGGCGAATAAGGCAACAAAAAAAGTAGCCAAAAAGGCCAACAAAAAAGCTGCCAAGTAACACTATATTGGTAGTTTTATCTTATTGCGGAGGTTAAAACTGCCATTGACGTGTAGAGGCAGCCGTGTTGTTGTGCGGTTTGACTGCTGTCGCCAATGTCAGCAAGTGGTTGCAGTGCTTCCGGGAGCTTGCAAACATTGAAGGCAGGGACTGACGAATGGTTGCTTGCAGTAGGACTTGATAGCAGAAAGACAGGTCTTGGAGATGGACGGGGTGGATTCTTGGAATGCGGGAGGGCAGGCCTCGCTGATATATACATTGTGTATGGCTACAGGTCAACTAGTATTTTAAGTTTTTAAAGTGAGTTACTGGCATAAAGTTTGGTATTCATGGTTTAGTTAGTTTTCGAGGTGAGTCGCCGGCATGACGTGTATTTTGCTCCACGCTGTAAGTGGCTGAGGCTGTCGCGATCAATTGATGGCCTTTGCCGGCGCGCGGTCATGGACTACCACCTGGGCTGGTGTGTTTAGTGTATCTCGATGCGTGTACTCGCTGTTATTCTCACTGCTTGTCACGGTCCTAGCCTGGTACGGCTTACACGTAGTGTTCAAATGTTACCAGTGGTTTTACATGACTATCTAGGCCTTTTAAAAAATTTCTTTTTTTAATAATTTAATATAAATAGTATATTTTTTAGTCTTCTATTATTTTTGGCTTAATGTAGCCGAATACTATATTCCCAGATATCATACTTACATCATCATTCATCTCAAGGTGACACAAAAACCAACCAGTAATCGATAAAATAAAACCACAGCAGCAACATTGAAGCGCGGCCCGCCATTAGCCACCACGACCCCCACCCAGAGCCGCAAACCGCACCCCGTCGAAATTTCCAACCCGCCTCGTCGCGAGACCACCACCATCCGTCCGTCCGTCCGTCCGCCCGTCCTCTTGCCAGCATCTCGCCCACAATGGTCTACTACTTCACCTCGAGCGCCGTCGAGCCCCCGGGCTTCATCTACGTCGGCAAGGACAAGTTCGAAAGCACGTCGCCGCCCCCTCGCCCCCGCCTCCGCGCAAAGTCTCAACTGACGCCCTTTCCCAGATGAGGACCTCATCCGGTACGGCTGGGACGAGGACGTCTGGGTAGGGCGCCTGCCTCTCCTCCCGCTGCCGTATCACCACAACTAACGCCGCGCGTCGCAGTTCCACGTCGACAAGCTCTCCAGCGCGCACGTCTACCTCCGGATGCGCGAGGGCCAGAGCTGGGACGCCCTCCCCGACGCGCTCCTCGCGGACCTGGCGCAGCTCACAAAGGCCAATTCCATAGAGGGTACTTAATTTCCCGTTGAGAGCGAGAGAGCGAGAGAGCGAGAGAGTGTAGCCGAGGCTGACTGCCAGAAGGCAACAAAAAGGACAACGTGGCCGTCATTTACACGCCGTGGTCCAACCTCCGCAAGGACGGGTCCATGGACGTCGGGCAAGTGTCCTTCAAGGACGCGCGCAAGGTGAGGCGCGTGCTCGTCGCGGCGCGCGAGAACCCCATTGTCAACCGGCTCAACCGGACGAGGGTCGAGCAGAGGCCGGACCTGAAGCAGCTGCGGGACGAGCGCTTGGCCGAGCTGCGGCGGAGGGAGCAGGCCGCTGCGCAGACGAGGGTGCGTGCGCCCCTTCGCCCCCTTTGATCAGGCTGACCTTTGGAAATAGAGAAAAGAAGAGGCGAGGCAGGCGCAGGAGTGGAAGGAGAGGAAGTGGGCTAAGGACCATGCGTACGACGACATGTTTACCGAGGAGAACATGGCGGGGTCGAGTAATCGCGATCGCGGGGCGGACTGGGAAGACGACTTTATGTGATGACACTTATTATGCTCTTGGCTGAGGTTGGGGGAAAAAAGTACAACTCAAAGAGTGTCCATTCGCTACGCTGCCTGACTTGAAGTTGAGGCTAATAGGGTATACAACAAAAAAAAAACTACAATTTCCCATGTTGCACGCCTGCATTGGCTGCCGTGAATGAAGGAGTGTCCTAGTACAGAGTATTGACATTCAATTCCGCAGTTGCAGACAACCAAGGAAGAGGAATGGCCTGGCCATCACCCGCTCACCCCTATCCTCCGCGTTCTCGCAATATTGAGATCCTCCAACCGACTTGCGAGTCCTCGAAGCTCAGTAGACGTCTCTAGTCGCAGTGGACTGGACGATTCTTGACGACTAGAGCCCTTGGCTGAGGTGGGTGAGCCTTCCGCGTCGCCCTGTCTTGCACTTGATGAAACCGGAGCCAATTCCGGAGCATCGTCGTCGTCTTCGGACTCGACCAAGTCTCTCAGGTCATCTTCGTCGTCGTCGTCGTCGTCATCATCATCCTCGCCCTCTTTCGATTGTTTCGCGCCGTGGTACTGGCTGGGGTCTGCGAGCGTCACCACAGGCTCACCTCCTGGAAGACGCACTTCGGACGCCTCGAGCGTCTGCGCGACGTCAAGCAGGAGGACGTCCATGGGGCAAATATAGGCAACTCGCTTCCGCGAACTCCAGGCCAGTACGTGGCCACACAGCTGGCCGTGGCGACGGTCCACCACCCAAGCTCCGCTGTCGCCAGGAAAGCCCATGGGCGGACTGGACTTTTTGGACTTGGCTTCGCCAGCCGTTGGCGTGCTTGCAACTTGATACGTGTGGCTTGGCGAGCATCGGCCATATATCTTCACACTGGTCAGGGCGGGCAGGATTTGACCGCTTTGCAGGCCGCTCGTTCGAGCAACGCACTGCACCTCCATCCCCGGCAGCGAAGATGAGGGCGCAACTGTTGTAGGCCGTAGTTTGGCCACATCGTCGCTCGAATCTGGCCGAGGTTTGCCGTCCTCACAACGAGGCATGGCATTTTCCCCGGGGAGGCGGCCGTCGGCAAACTCAAACAGCGCCCAGTCCACTTCATGGATCAGGCCTTGTGCCTGCTTGCGGCGGATGCCACTCGAGGCATAAACCTCGCCCAAGCTGTAGGTGTCAAGGTGGTCTTCGTCTTTGGTTTCTGCACAAGGATAGAAGCCCTCCTCGACGTCATCCAAAGCTGGCTGCGTTACCACATAGCCGTCGCCGCATCCCGGCTCAATTCCTGGAATATCACCCGGCTCAAACTCGTCTTCTCCTCCTTCTTCTTCTTCTTCATCGTCGCCGTAGTCGCTAGTAATGTCGGTTTCAGAGTATGGCTCAGATTCCGCGTCTGACAACTCGTACGCAAAATCTTCATCATCCCCGCTGCCCTCCGTAAACCCAGCATACCAGTCATGGCCTGGAGCCGCACTGCTACGCAGGGTGTCTACTTGAGCCTGGTCCGGGTCCGGGTCATCGAGCATGTGATGGACCGTCATGCCATACGGCTTATCATCGACCATGACAAGGCCGCCGAAACTAACTGGCGGCAAATGTCGGTCGCCGATCCATGCGCCAATGCTGGCTCCATTCCCTGGGTATTTCTGATATTGCGGATTTACTGCCTCCACCTCGTCCTCGCTGTCGCCGCCGGCGGCATTTGCTCGGGCCATGGACCGGAAAACTGATTTCGAGAAGCGCCGGGACCGGAGAACGTGGCCCCGGCACACCTTGAGTGAGAATCCAGTCGTGCCGTCAAAGAGTTCGCCAATTCGTTTCTTCAAAATAGCGCGGACTTTTCCAACCGAGGTACAAACAACCAAGACGGTCGGCTGCGCAGCCTGGGGGCTCGTCCCGACTGATTCTAAAGAGATTTCAACAGATTCGGGGTGCTTTCGATAAAAGTGGCGAAGAGCCTGGTTGATTTGGGGCATCAAGATGGTGTTCCACTTGTCGACAACATCGGGCGGGAGTGGTACATGAGGATATAGCCTCATTTTCTGCTTGCCCGGAGCATCTGCCAATATGTTAGTCGAGGACAAGGCTAAATCAGTCATCAAGGCTTCTGTACCGTCGACATCCTCCCCCGCCAGGTCTACGTGTCCCACTAGCCTTCGTTTAGAGTCGGGCGGCGGCACCGAGGCTTTCTTGTCTGCAGGATACCCCGATGGAGATTTGGTATCCTTGGTAGGTTCAAGCCGCTGCTGCTGCTGCTGCTGCGTCACGGTTGTGTCGCGCACTTCCTGGTCTAGACGCTGCTCGAGATCACTCACGCCATCCAAAATGCAACAAGTCTCCAGGAACCGTGTAGTTTGCGTTTGTATCGCGGATAAGAGAACCTCCCCGCCTGATTGTCCATTCAACTCATCATCAACCGCGTGCCAGCAGGATTGGACCGCTTTCACGTAAAGTGTCCCGCACTTCACTGTTAATCGATCTAAAGTGGATGCAGGAACAATGGTCGACGTCGAGTTGGGGAGCAGTGCCTCAAGCTGCGTCCACAAGCCAATGGACAGCAGCACCATGGCAAGTGAGTACAGTTCGAGAACACGCTCATCCGTAGTCCTGCTAACGGGAGACCCTCGTGAGCTGTGAGGATCCAAAGGATGTCTCCAAGGCGACGGCTTGGAAGCAACCTCGTCTTCTGGGAAGATGTCGAATGAAGATACAAGAGGTCGGCGGATGTCAATAACGCCATCTCCTGCATTGGCGCCTTCCGTAGTAGCATTGCCGAAAGATATGTTTTTAGCAGCCAGGTTACCATGGGTGACACCCCTAGCGTGCATGTCGAAGATGGTATTGGTGAGGTTGTAGGCCAATTTGAACTTTGCTTCCAAGGGTGGTTCATCCTGGCGAGAGAGAAGGTCATGCAACGTCGGGAGATTATACAGCGGGTTCTTGGTGCGTGGCTCAAAGGAGACGGCATTGAAGGAAGGCGGGAGCCTGTACACGAGGCCGATTCGTGAGTTCTCCAAGTCTTCAAAGTATCCCAAGAGACGCGGTAGTCCCGTCCAGGTCCCTGGAGCACGCTGGGGATCTTGCTGTAGGCCAGACGACAACTTTTCGAATCGCGACATTGGGGGCATAATTCCAGTCACGGAGTAAATCGAGTCAAACGTGGCATACTCTAGGAGTAGAGGGGCCCATGGTGCCTTGGTTGTAGTGCCCTGGGTCAATTCGGAGTATGCAATCTTGCTCATGAAGACGACTTGCCTCGGAGGGACTGCGGATACATCCTCCTGTTTGGGTCCCAGAAACGTGAGCGTCATGGGGTCGATGTGCTGTGGTGTCTGCATACGACTCGACTCAAATGGTCTAAACTCATCGGCAGCCAGCGACTTGTATGTAGTCTTGGACATGCGTCTAGGAAAGTATCCTGACGACCTCGTCCGCGACAAGTCATATAGGGTGTCGATTGAGGCAGTGAGATCGCGAATAAGGTCCTCAAACCGAGTCTTGTCCCATTGAACTAGGGGGACTTTCTTGTCCGGCGATGCCCTGCTGGAAGCAACAACATGCCTCGAGCTCTGCCAAAGGGGTTCCGCCTCGGCCAGGATGTCTTTGATGGTGGACATGATGCTTCCCACGACTTCGCTCAGGCCGGCCTTGGAGAGAGATTCGTCAATTTCTGTGGATTGGCTCGGGTCTGACCATTCAAGGCCCCAGCTGACGAGGCGATCCTTTTGGATGCGGAGTTTCCGATGCAGTGTCTTCATCTCCGGGTCCTCTTCATTTTGAACGGGCTCCTTGACAAAGTCGCTTGATTTTTTGGTGTCGTTGTAGAGGCGGCTGAGTCGGCGTTGAAACGGCAGTTGAAAGCCGCCCATAGGGATGAAGGATTCCATGATGTCGTAAATTTACTCGACCAGTGTGAAATACGAGCGGATGTTAGATGGTACGTCTCACTTGAAGCGAGTATATTGATGGCGCACACTGGGCCCGCGCCCGTTCTCAATGTGAACTCAATGCTCAGCGCGAATACTTGCTCAAGAGTCTGGTTTCCTGCAGCAGTTACTGCGAAGCTGCAATCCTTGGTGATAGTGGTGGTCGTGGTCGTGGTGGTTGTTCCAAGTTCCAACGTCCAACGTCCAACGTCCAACGGTGGCCCCGGGATCAAAGTATAGCAATGAATTATGCAGATGACGATGATGAAGAGGGACAAGACACAGGAATTTGCCAACTGCGTCGACGTCGCCGCAGCCGACCTCGACCTTTAGCTTTCAGCGAAGCCTAAAATCCCTTTGTCTAGTGCCATTTATCTGGCTGCCTGTAATGGGGACGAAGGCGATGAGCCTGGATGGAACAAGTGCACAGTCCAACTCGGCCGCATTGTGGGGAAGGAGCGACCATCTCGAACCTCTTCCCGTGAGGGAAATGCTGTTGCCTGAAGATGCAAGTTGGACTCCTGATCGTCTGATTGGCTGCCTGCTATTGGGTGATTGGTTGGCTACGCTGGAATGCGGCGAAGTGCAGATCCAATGACAATTGGGTCTGACACGAGTACGGAGTACTCCGCTGATAAGTCGGTGCCTAGGCACGTACCAGGGAATTGTGTGTGACGTGCGTCTTACCTCACGTGATATGCCACCTCTGATCCTTCAATTCTATGAGATAAAAGGCATTTCATCACCATAAATTACAATCGCCGAAGAATCTTACAATATTGCCTCTTGTGGGACCTAACAAGCCGCGAGGCGGACAATGATTCACCGCGGCCAATGTCTTATATGGCTAGTAGCTACTAGCAACAGTAATATTTATTGATATTTAATGTGCAGGGCCGGTGACGTGCTAACGTCCCAATCGTCCTTCTTCTTCTCGTCGCCAAAGATCCTCAGGGCACGCACAACAAACTTGTACTTGCCAGGAGGAGCGTAATTGCCAGAGTCAAGACGGCCGTCCCAGGGGAAGGTATTGAGACCACGAGTTCCCCAGAGGGCAGGGAAGTTGTAAGGCTGGCCAATAGTCTTGATGCCCTGGAATTCAGTCGTCAAGTTTTTAGGAGGGCACGTCGTCAGAGGGACAATGTCGGCGCGGATCTTTCGAGAGCCAAGGTACAATGAGACAGTGAGCTGGGGCAGAGTGTCGTTGGAGCCGGCGTTGCCCGGCGCGGGGATCACAAAAGTCGAGTTGGGCGGAACCGGGTTGGACTTTTTGTCGGTCGACTTGGAGATCCAGGTGTTATTAGCACCTAGGACCGCAGAATTGTGCAGGGAGCCGGTAAGTCCCTGATAGGGGAGAGACAAAGACGTGCCGTCGGTGCCATTAATGACAATATAACCAGACCAAAGAGCAAGGCGTTTAGCATCCAGCCCCTGAGGAGGGGTAGGAGAAACACTGATAGACTTGGACTGGCCACCGTTGAGGGTAACGCTGGTTTCGCTGAGCTTAATAGTGGCAGCAGCTTGGACCGCGTCATTCGGGAACTGCTGAACACTGGGCGAACCGTCACCCAACGCATACATGGTCATGGCAGGAGTATGGGTGATCTTGTAAGTAATCCCCTTACTGTCGGTGTTCTGAAGCTTAAAGCTAAGCGTCTCGACGAAGTGGTCAGTGTCGTTGAATGACAAGCTGGAAGGCGAAAGAAGAGTAGTGGCATAGGCTGCATCATATGCCTGGACTAGACCACCGCCTTGCTGCGGAACGGGAGCCAAGAAATCGTAAAATTTGGTGCCGTCATTAAACAGCTGTGGGTTAGCGTTGGCAGAAAGCAAATTCTGAATCAGCTCGGGGTCGTAAGTACCGCGGACCTGGTGGATCAGAGCGATGATACCAGCAGTCTGAGGGCAGGACATGGATGTTCCGGAAAGGACGGCATAACTACCCAAGGCACGGGGATAAGTGGAAAGAACATTACCGCCAACAGCACCAAACTGAGGCTTGGTATCCATTTCCCAAGTTGGGCCCCAACTGGTAAATGTGCTCAGAGCGCCGCCAGTAATGGTGTTGTTGGAAGTGCTGACCTCCGAGTCCGTCTTCTGAGGGCTCACCATCTTCAGCGTAAGCTTTTTGCCATCCTTGAGAGCATTGATGAATGTTGCACCAGTCGTGCCGTCAATCATCGATGCTGCCTTGATGGAACCAGCAGGAACTCCCGTAAGGTCCATAGGAATGGCACCGACAGCATTATTGTTATAAACAATAACGTACTTGGCACCCTTGGCCACAGCGTTGTTGACCTTTTGCGCAAAAGAGCAAGAGCCCCGGCGGATCAGAACAATATACTTGCTGAGATCGGGCGTGTTGGCCGGGAAAGGGTCGCAGCCATCGTCGGGGATTGTAGGGTCGAGGCTGTTGGACCATGCCGGCAGCGTGACGCCGTCCCAGCTAGCAGGATCAGAAGGGACGTAGCCAAACTTGGTATCGGCATCGCCGTCTATCTGGTATTGGGAGCTGTAGATGAGAGTAGGGGTCTGGACATTGTCATACGAAGCAATGGCTGAGACGCGACGGCCGTTGGCGGCAGTGCTAGCATAGAAGATGCCTTCTGCACCTTCATTGCCCGCAGAAACAGTGCAAGGCACGCCCTTATCAACGATTCGGGAGACAGCCTCGGCCCATGGATCCTCAGACCAACCGCTAGGCCCGCCAATAGATGCCGTGATAATGTTGGCACCATCCTGATAAGCCTGGTTGAAAGCTGCAATCAGGACATCGTTACCAGCCTGACCCTTGCAGCCAAACACACGGTAGGCCCCCAAGGTCGCGCCAGGAGCGGCACCAGTGAACCCGTACGTGTTGGGCTGGGCGGCGACGATGCCGGCAACGTGCGAACCGTGGCCACCACAGTCCATGGGGTCGGGATCAGGGTGAGGCGTGTTGGAACCGTCATAGGCATCGCCGACCAAGTCTGTTCCGAAGGCGACCAGGCAGCCCTTGCCGAAGCAGCCACCCAAAGCTGGGTGTTTGTAATCAATCTGAGCCAGTAGAGGTCAATTCCTAGCCTCGTCGCGGATGTGCTCCCAGAACGGCATGGGAAGCCTTGAATGCGTTCACTTACACCAGTATCAACAACGGCAATCTTAACGCCCTTGCCGGTAATTCCCTTTGCACGGAGCTTGTCCACCTGTGTCATGACATGAGGAGAAAACGTGTCAACGCCATCATCAGCCCTCGAGGAAAGGAGACCACCCGGCGCCTTGGTGCCGTCCTGGGCAATCCATTCGACTTTGGGCTTGGGCATGTTGAAGAGCTGGACCGGGTACACAGCCTTGACGGCCGGTGTATCGGCCAGCTTGGCTGCCTTTTCGTGGGCCTTGTCGACGTCGTGCAATTGAACCGAGACGCCCTTGAACAACTCATAGTCGAGCTTCATTCGGGTCGTACCATCCTTGCCAACCGTCTGTTCGAAAGCAGCAGGATCCTAGACGGGTCATATTAGTCGAGGCCGCACGAAACTACACATGACGCCATTGGGTCGTATAGAATTGTTCCAGCGGAACAAACAACTCACATGGCCGGCCTCCAGTTCGAAAATATACGCGCCGGGAACGATCGTCTTGACAACTTTCTCGTCCTGAGCATCCGCGGCCAAGGCGGACGCAGCGGCCGCCACGAGCGACACGACAAGTGAGAGTCCCACCATGGCAGCAACGAAACAGAGAAACAGACAAGTTGTGAACTACGAAGACGGAAATCGGGGAGTTGACCAGCTTCACTGGATTCGAGAAGGGGGAGGGGCCATGGTGGCCTACTATATAGCCATGGAGGAGGCCTTATCCTACGGCTCATGGCTTCTTCCACGAATTGGCAGTCCCCCGACTGGCCTTCTCCAACAATCTGCAAGTACAGAACTAGGGTCGGGATGGAGAAGCGGCCCTGGTCACGCATGCATGGTCCAGCAAGGGACTTTGGGGTCTTAGGTCATGTAAGTGAACAATGTTCGACACCAAAAGCGAGATAGGCGTGCTCAAGCTCACTAATTTGGGTTGCAGCACATGAAGGACCCGGTTCCCGGAGAGCAGGGGTTGACTTTAGTGTTGGCGTGCTGTTGTTTGCTGCTCCAGATTCTAATGCGTTGCACTGCTCTCCTCGAGACTTGCCGTGGCCCGTGGACAGAACATCGCGTTGGTTGGAACTTGGAACTTGGAAGCTTGCCCGGAGAGGAAGAGAAGGACCCAGCGCATGGCGATATGAGCACAGACGCCAGACCCATTGTTACCGGAGACGGGCGCCTGAGACGAGTTCCAAGCGTCAAAGAGCACATTTCACCACCGCCGGCGGATGAGACCAAGACCGAGAAAAACAAGCACGGTAACATATCTACTAAGTAGATGGGAGTGGAGTGGGGTTCCTGAGTTGGCTGGCTATCACCTACTATATCTGGCAAGCGGCCAGGCACCTCCCTCCCATATGCCCCATATGACCCAATGGGGCTCAACGAAGCTGGCGCCTTTGGCAGCACTGTTAGCAGCACCTTTGGCTGCACTTGTAACAGTATAAATAATGCATATTTATCGCGTGCCTTTAGTAATTATATTTACTTTTTTTTTACATCTATAAAGTGTTATAGATTAGCTAATATACGACCGTAGGGGTACCCCCGTCGTACCTCGTGCGGAGTCGTGCCTCTATGTAGGAGCTAGGTAGTGAGCAGTTCTTTGCTTATCTCAGCGACTTGCAAGCGCTGTGTACTCAGATAGGCTTGGAAAACACTCGGTAGCACATTAAACAGCGCAGATCAGAACCCGAGGGGATATGTTGGCCACGTTTCCAGAAAGCACAAGAGGCTCACCAAGTGGTCGGGGAAATGGGCCTAGACAAGACAAGCCCGAAGGTGCGTCGCTGGGCATGTGGATTCGTGCATCTAGGCACGGCTTGTAGCCTTGCGTGACCGCCCAGAATATTGGCCAAGCGTAATAGAGCAAGTATGCCCCGACAAACGCGGAATCCAGAGAACAACTTCAATCGCCATCGACAGATGCACTTAGCCACCAGTCGCGGCCCGCTCAACGGCTTGTCGGCTGGTGAGACAGTGGATCGATCGCCTTACCTCGCCATGGGCTGGCTGTCTGACCCAGCACATGCTTTTCCTCGCTCCTCGTCCAACGGGAGAAATTTTCAAGAACGGCGAGGTGACTTGGCGTGGCAGAGCTCATAGCCTGGCCACGGCGAGCTGCAACGAGGACTGTTGAGATGGGCAGTCGATTTCCGCATGGCTGGGTTGGAGGGGGGCCAGCGGTCTCAGCACGAGACTTGGCTCTACCAGATGTTCCCGGCATCCCTCCCGGTCGAATGAACAGGCTCCCGTTCTGTGTGGCCTTCGTGCGACGGTCAAACTTGCATCGTAGAATGTCAAGACACTGCATGTCGACCACCGAAACACCGAAACAGTCGTCTTGGACGATACACCAATCTCCGAGCTCGGAGCTGGCAAATTGAGCAGCCATGCCACCAAGGTAAGCCCCCTGACGGCTTCGCTGCGCGCTGTACGTTCATCGATCCTTATTTCTTGATCCAACATGTCGCTGGTGCCCGTTTCTGTCAAATGGGCTGTGGGGTAATGTTTAAAACAATTGGTTTTGGAGTCGGCTCGTGGAGTTGCTTTGCTTGTCCCGGCCTGGAGATTGTGTTGTGGGGATCACTACAATCCTTGCACAATGTTGACATCGAGACCCTGGGCCCTGGGGTCGTCGAGCGGCTGCATCTTCCCCACTCTGAAGCGGTTGAAGGCACATTGTGCACATACATACAGAGGTTCTAGCCCCTGCCGTGGGGTAGTCATCTTATTCTTTTGGAGCTGCCCTGTTTGGCGACTGCAAGCAGCCTCATATCAATGAGAACAAGCTGCTGGACGTTATATTCCAGGGGGCGGCAGCTTCAGATTGAAACTTTTCAGCGGGTAGCTCTTTACATAGCGTAATAGGAGAGACATAGATCCTATCGCAGACCCCGGCATTGGCCCGTTTGGAAAGTCATGTGTCCATTGTCATTTTGGCTGGCCTTGTCTCTGGTTGAGAGTCTTGTGTCTCTCGTCTTAAAGCCGCTCACTCCACTTTGCAGCTGGTGTCAGTGCCGTTTTGCCAAGAAAAAGAATGATACTAATAAGCGTACATACTCGGAGAGCACCATGGCTGACTAGATCCGGCAGGTGTAACTGCGAACTTTTGTTCGATAGCAATGTTGACCATGTTCGGCGGAGTAGCCCGAACACCATGGCCTGGCCCGACCGCCATGTTTATGATATGCAGTACGGTTCCCATTCAGGCCACGGGCAGGCAGTCTATCAGTCAGCTGTACCCAAGTCCCGCAACAGAACTCAGCAAGGTGCATGGTACTGCATACTGTACTTGAGCAAACGGTGAGGTCACGCTGCATGTTGGACAGCGTCGCGGGTTGCGGCCCGACCAGCAGGACGAAGCGAGGCAGTTTCGCGGGGAAGAACAAGGTAATACTACTCCGTAGTTACATGCATCGTTGGCTGTTGGAGTAAGACGGAAGGGCGCAGGGTATTGTAGATAGACGGGTTACATTGTGGAATAATAACAGCGATGCCGATCTCACGCGTGCCTCTGTCGCTGTTGCAGAGGATGACGGCAGTCGACGTCTGATCTGTCGCGCGCGTTTGAAGTCGTGGAAATTTTGATGGGTGGCGAAACGTTGTTCGCAAGGATCAAATGCACGCGGGGCTTCCTTCCTTCCCTACTTCACTCGACAACTCCAAGTTGCCTGCACACGGCAATTTCAGGCCTCGTTGGTTCCTTCCCAACGAGAATACCGCAAGTACACGGCCGACAAGGCTGCGCGAATCTCTCGGGAGGGTGAAAACGATGCAGGACTCTTGCATGCAGATTCCGCCCAATTTTCATCCAAGACAGAAGAGAAACGAACCTCGTATCCCAACCAGACAGCACCGCCTCCTACCCGCAGCTGCATCGGACTCGACCAACCTCCCGGCTCTGTTCTGTGCTCCTCGCAAATCGCAAACCGGAGTAAGAACCCCTTGTCTTGTCCTTGGGCCTGCATCACGTAAATTGACGTGCCCATGATGCATTCAAGCTTGCCTCCACCAATAAACCTCGATTTGGCAATTCTCGCTAGGATCGTTTGTCCCAGATATTCCACCACTGGGTCAATACTATTCACCTTCCCATATCGGCTGGCAGCTACTTCGTACGGAGTACTCCGCACAATATTGTGGTAGCCCAGTGACTCAACGTCGTGGCGATACTGCATGGGACGAACGGCTCCGACCAGGATCTCGGCGTCAAGGCACGATGGGTTCCTGCTTCATGCATTGTGCAACGCCGACGGCCTTCTACTACTTGGCTTGAGTGCTACCCAGAGTCGAGGCAAAGAGATCTCGGAGTCGTCCATCCTCGGAGGGCGCTGACTAATTCCTGCTCCTAGATTCACCTATCCACACGTGGCTGCCTGCGTCGCCCGGTGCTGCAGCTGCCGCGACTCTCGCCTACTTCCAGATATCAGTGATTGATCAATTACGGGTACGCTCCCGCTCCAAGAACGGTCAGTCGACCTTGTAAAACCTCTGGCGCCCAGAACTGGAGAGAGCTTGATCCTTCGTCCATCGGGTTATGCCTTGGGAGCAGCAAACCTCCGCCAAAGCTAGGACATGCTGTCCATGACACCCCAAGAGCCCTTACACCATACAAGGTTTGCACGCCACGTCACCTACCCTGTGACGGGATGAATTCCACGGCGTAACTTGCCAAGAGAGTTTGCACTAGACCTATCCTACGCGACCAGGTGTTTTAAGGGTCAATTTTTATCTTTACAGATGTACCCGGAACTGCAACGCGTTGCAAGATTAAAGCTGTTCCCAAACATCACCAGCAATTCGAAAACCCGCCCGACATGGACTTTAGACTGTCAAAAGCGAGCCCAGCTCGCCGTTCCCAGTCCTCATGAAAACATTCGAAGGTCGATCACGATGCGCAAATTGCTCATCAACCACGTAGACAATTTCTGGGCCTTCCTGTCGAAACCCCATCTTCTCATACACTCGTCTCCCCATAAGTGAAGCCTCCGTGATACACTCCAAACCTCCTCTGGTCTTTGCCTCGTCCAGCCCCCATTGAACCAGCTGCTTTGCGATGCCTCTGCCTTGGTAGGCCGGGTCGACAACACACAAGTCAAGGACCATGGCAGAGGGAGGCGAGGAGTTGGTCTTTTTCTTCACGAGGTCTATACGCTGGCGATGAAGAGAATGCATCGCCTGGCAGAGGTACCTTTGCTCCGCCTCGTTCCCCGGATATATCTTGTCAAGATCGAGCGCTTTGCTCAGGTCTTCGGCGGGCGGATCGCCGTGGCCGGCAACGCTGGAGAGTTGGAGCCAAATGGCTGTGCCGACAATCTTGCGTGGCCCTCCAGGAGCCGCTCCGTCACAGGGTACCGTTGCCTTGAGGAATATTGTATTCGGACGGCCCTGGTGATCCTTGGTGGCTGCTCGCCAACGATGTACCATACGAGAGGCCGCCTGTGCCTTTCCTTGCGGAGTGTCCCAGCTTGGGTTCATGGCTGTCCACAAGCCATCGTGCGTCTGTTTACCGAACGTTTCGCAGACGGGGTTGATTGCCTCAACCATGTCTTCGGCCGTGTTGATTTGCTCTATGAGAATGCCAGGCTGCTCTGCGGCCATGGCTGCGTCGTCGAAAGTCATTGCTTGCACGGGCTGTGCCCACGTCTAGTTGTTTAGCTTGTGGGCTGGGCTGCTCGAGCTGAGTATTTTGTCTGTTCAGAGTCAGTCATCTTGCAACCTGTGATGCGTGGCCGCACTCAGTTTTGGGCCAAGAAGCCCACACAATATCGAATGGGCCAACGATACGACAGTCCCATGTGGAACTTGGGGCCCCATGATACCCATGTGCTAACCCAAAGAGACGTGGGAGCTGGGGGCGGCTAATCTGGCTTTCGTCAAGTTGAGCTTCTACAAGACGCCTCGATGCCGAAGGAATGGAGTCACTACTGCTAGTGAAAAGCCATATGCCAACTGATTTCGATCCAGATTCAGCGAAACCAACTTTGAGCTCTCCGAGTTTCCGTTGTAGCAAATATCTCACGGTTATCAACACTGCCCTCAATCTCTCACGCTTGACGAGTGCTCGCTTGGACAAATTGAGCGACAAGCTTTGTTACAGCTACTTCATCGCCTTCCGGCTCTTTCGCCAGCCTTTAGCCACATCCGCCTGAGATGGCATCGTTCAATGCCGTCTTTTGCCTGGTGAACTAATGCCGCCAAGGCGGCCGCGGACAGCCAAGTAGGTTGCATGGCTCAAAGTATAATTGCGTAGTAGAACTTCTTACACGGATGGAAGCTGTTTTTATACAGCCATGCGTTAAAATATGATTCGGTCCCTAGCCGTGGCATTGAGTACAAGACTATTGTCCCCGATGACGCCAAGCTCTGGGAAACCGTCTCCTTGCCTGTTATTCTTCCGTCAGCACTGACACAAGTATTTGGTCATTGTGTGCAAGGCGAGCAAGAGTCCGGTTCATTCGAAGTATAAAGCAGGCTTGTTCTTCCTGCAAGACTCTACTGACCTCGCCAAACAATATTTGAAGCTGCTCCTCATCACTATTCTGCGGTATCGTACGACTGTGTGTGGCTACATGGGTCAACAAGCCGGTCATCACTGCAGACTACACCTGTTGCGGTCGTCATGCACAAGGCAGTGGTTCTCACACTTGGTGTACTGGCGATCACTTGCCATGCTTTGCAGGCCATCATTCTTGCCGACACGAATCGAGACGGAAAGGTTGACATGAACGGGAACTCAGATGATGCACTAAAGTCCATTTGGACGGAGGAACGAGGAGCTATTTTCATGGCCAATATTGCCGATACGAACCGCCGATGCTCCGCTAGGAATAATTCCAACCATCTTGATAGGTGCCACGACGCATCTGATAACATCCTACGCAACTCCAAGTACCTGGCGCCTCTACGCACCGTCGCTGACGGTGCCTTGAGCGATGCAGCCAGGGGCAAGATCTTTGTCCCTGGCAAATATGCCGAGAAAAATGTCCGCATCTTCCACAAGAGCGGCGGTAATTGGAACTATGTCAACAAGAGCTATGTCTTCAGTCCCCCTGATCTGCGGGCCGGTCTAGAGCTGGGGATTGACGCACGAGACGTCGGTCGACCCAAGGGATGGGATGGGATGGCCATGGTCAACTTTGTATTGACTGACCAGGAGCAGTCTGCCAATGATACAGTCGCACTTCGTGTTGCACCCATCCTGATACCTCATGATAAACGAAGGCTTGAAAAGATGTCGGTTTCAACTCACAAACGTTACCCAAACTGGGAGTTGTTTGCCGAGCATCTACAGAAGTATTTGGTTGATCGTAGATTCGAGGAGCCTGTGACCAGGATCGACAGTCTGCACGGCTGGGCCCACGACCACTTCAAAGCCGGATATACAAGTATGCCGGGACCCGACGGGCCTATTTCCCTGCGCGTCTATCTCAAGGGCTGTCTAGAGGGGCCGGAGGGCGAACGAGTGTTTGCGGATATGAGAGGTGACTCGGCCGGCGCCGTTCGACATCATGAGACATCCGAGTTAGATTCGGACCAGCTGGGGAATATTGAAATCATACCCCCCTATTCCCACAACGGCGCAAACTACCCTGCGGGAAGAGCAGTCATGGGATTCGCCCGCTTCATGTCCGGCCACAAACCGCCCAAGATTCTGAAATTTTTGCAGGCCCAGAAGTTCCAGCACCCCTTCACCCTCGATCATAGTTGGCTCTATCGTGGCCAGATTGCCGACTACATGCAGTTCGTACCTGCCAACACCTCCCGAGGATGGGCCATGATCGTGGCCGATCCCGTTGCCACACTCAACTTGTTCAAGAAGGCCAAAAAGGACGGCCATGGCGAGAACATAGCGATATCTCATCATAGCTTCCTCAGACCAGAGCCTGAGAAGGATTGCGATAAAATGACCATTAGTCAGCTTCTTCGGCTGCCTCTCATCAGAAAAACGACCGAGTGGTCCGGAAAGACAATTGCACACAACGTCAACGTTATCAAGAACGAAACTGGAATCACTGAAGATGATATCGTACGCGTCCCGACCCTTTTCTACTCGTATGATGGTCTCACAACGCTGAGGCAGATGTACTGTATGGGGAATAGATATTATGTAGCTCCAAAGTCGATGGCCCTGAAGACGAAACGCTGGTTCCATTACCTGTGGAATATGGCAAAGAACTTCTTCGAGTTGGCGCGAGCCACACCCTGGCCTTCCAAATCTCTTTACCCCACAGCCACCAACGGCATCTACTTTGAAAACTTCCAATACCTGAGCCCGCAACCCTTCGGGCCCCTCATCGACGGGTCGGACATATTCGTCGAGGCTATCCGCCAGGCCTTCGGCAAGGTCGGAGTGAATGTTACATTCTTCGAGAACTGGGTTATTCAGCACGTGCGCGATGGCGGAATCGAGCGCGCCGTCAACGTGGAACGTGATATTTTTCAGAAGTGGTGGACAATGGATGGCGCTGATGAAACGCCTCAACGTGAAGTCGCTCCGGAGAATCATACAGAGCATCAGCGCGCCTGAAAGCAAAAGCACGCGTTTGCCATATAATGATGCTTTGCTAGGCGAGACGCTCACCTTCCGCCGGACTATTTTACCTCTTTTGTTTTTGAGTCTTTATGGATATACTTGCCAGGAGGAGCGTCGACGCCGAACCCGAGGTATACATTTCAGGGGACTCGGCTGTCCCGACTCCCATCTCCCGGCGTTTGCCACGAGTATGTGCTGCCAGAGAGGGACTCTTTTTATAGCATAATTAGTATCTGGGGCTGGATCGGTTATTATGAGCAGTCTTAGTAAACAAGAAGTCATGGTAGCCAAGCGTAGCGGCCATTGCTGGGTGTGCAACACGGGAATAGTAGCCATCGTTCAGCCGGTGGCCTGTGGGAGCTTTGCACATGAATTCTTGGCGAATGATGGGACAAGGATGTGTACACCGCTTACGATTGAAGCCAGAGCCACGCGGAAGACGCTCTTGGCCGGCTTTGACAAGACCGGCGGCACCACGCCGCTGCAAGTGAGGCCGAATCAAAGACACGTCAACTTTTCAAAGAAACGCTGCCCTTTGTCTCACTATGTACATAAACAGCGCGGCCGTTGCTGGGTGTGTAACACGGGAATAGTAGCCAACGTTTAGCCGGTGGCCTGTGGGAGCTTTATATATAAATTCTTGGCGAGTGATGGGATAGGAATATGTACCTACTTATAATTAAAACCAGAGCCGCGTAGAAGACGCTCTTGGCCGGCCTTAATAAGACTGGCGGTATTATAACACTATAAGTAAGGCTGAATTAAAAATACGATTTTTTTTTAAGAAACGCTGCCCTTTTTCTCACTATGTACACAAATAGGGTCGAGATGAAAGTAAAATGTTTAAGTTGAATCAAGCATATTGGAAATAAAGTGTCCAGGCCGGCAGAAAGACGTTAACGTCAACGCCCCAGCTGTGTCGGCTTCAAAGTTCAGAGTCAGACCAACACTGTCTCTGCACACCGTCTTTTTCTCTCTCTACTTGTACAAAACCAATACTGCGCCCTTGAACCCCTCTCTCCGGATCAAATGTATTTATGCAGCTGCGCGCACAGCTAGTATCCCAAATGGAGGACCTTTTAAGATATACCCCTTCTCGCGCCGCAGTGCTGACGGTATCCCCCTTTGTGAATCAGAAATTCTTCAAGCGGAACCCAGGCCTCACGGAGCAGATTTGCGTCCAACAGGCCGCGCAGGTGCTTGGCTGCCCGGCCAGCAGCATCCTTCCCGCGGCTATCCAGGGCGCAAGCAGTTTCACCGTGACCAGGTCCGACGCCCGCCCCGGCGACTTGGGCGTCGTCCAGTTCCGCGATCTTTCGTCCCCGTTGAGCAGAGACACCGTCGCCCTGGCCCGCGGGACCTATGGGCATGTCATTCCCGCCTGCGACGCAGTCACATGCGGGCTCAGCGACAAGGCGCACGTCTATCTCATGACGCTCGCCGGCGGCATCGCCTTCAGCGCCGCCCAGAGGACCCTCTACCAGGACGAGGGCGCCGAGCGGCTCACGGTGACCGTGGCCGACTTTGCCTCGTCTGTGCTTCCCTCTCCCCCGTCACAAGTCCGGCCTGTAGCTAACCACGTCTGGTGGCAGTTTTGTCGCGTCCTCGCTGTCGACTGCGCGGCAAAACACCGACGACGCCCTCCTGTCGCAGGCATACGACCAGCTGGCCGTGTGGGAGGCAGCCCTGCCGGCGCGGTTCCAGCCCAAGCTCGCCGAGATGCGCGCCCGGCTGCCCGTCATCTTGGGGCGCCAGTTCCCGCAGGTGCTGAACCACGCGGACCTGGTTGAGATGAACATACAAGTCGACGACGCGTCGGGCGGTATTGCAGGCATCGTCGATTGGGAAAACGCTAGCTACGGCGCGTTTGGCGTCGCCATCGCCTCGCTTGAGGTTTTTCTTGGCATTTGCACCGGCGGGGGGGTCTGGATCTGGCACCCGCGGCAGGAGCGCCTCCGCGCCGTCTTCTACGAGACCCTCTGCGCAGAGCTCGGGCGTCACGTTGAGGCGCGTCACTTGGACGCGGATGGCGTCGAGGCCGCGAGGGTGTTTGGGCTCTTTGTCATGTACGGGTCCTGGGCTGCTGCGGGGGCCGATGGACACGACGGCGACGGGGACGGCCGCGGCGCCGCGCTGGCTGGTGTGTGTCTGGAGGCGGGCTTGGGGGAGGGGGCTGCCGCACAGCCTTTTCTCCGGCGGTATTGGGGTTGACCGCCGGCTTACCTAGGCCGTCAATGGCGGATGATGATCTCGAGCAGCCCGGACAGCGGCGCGGTCCATCTCCTCAGTGCTCCGTGGCGGGTCTCGATGTGGGGGAGGCCGTCGATTGTAGCTGCAGTCGCGGGCGCAGACTACCTAAGTACCCGGGTAGGCAGGTGGGGACATGGAGCCTAACCGGACATTTGGTGGCCGCGCTTCCTGTCAATTATAGTGAGGGGTGCGCCAACGCCGGGGACGACAGCGGGCGTCGTGTCGCTGACAGCTGCCATGGTGTAAGTCAACGGTAAGAGACAATGAATATGAGGATAAATAGGGGATTGTACACGACATGGAGAAGTTAAAAGAACACACAGAATACGCACACACACCCAATATCAGTACGAAACGATGGTTCCAGGGAAATGACAGCAACGGGTGTCACGTAAAGGGGAATGCAATTTTTGACATGTCAATATTGTGTGTTTGTTGGATTTTGTCTCCTCTCCAACACTACCAAATTTCGCCTCGGCTTGCTACGTAGTACTTCTACATCCAACAAATATATCGCTTTACGCGTGAGCTCTCCGACAACAGGACATGGTGCAGTGCTACTTGTCCGACATGATGCACGCAGATAAGCCCATGTACCGTTCCAAAATTACTTTATATTCCCAAGTCTCTGCAGGTAGAAAGAAACTAGATACCGGCTTCCGTCCTTCCCAGTAAGCCTCCAAGAAACGCGAGCATTGCTTCTGCTACTGCTGCGTGATCCTTTTGTGCTTTGACGCGTCCTTCACCTCCTGACCCCTCCAGCAATTGGCGGAGTTATTGATAGGCCTGTTCCTTCATCATTGCGGTCACCTCTTCTAGTTTTCAACGCCCGTCTCGGTCAATGCCGCCGGCATCACGCGGCTAGTCGTTCGCCTTGTCGTCGCAGTCTCCTATTTTGACGTGTCTCGGACCTCTGGGGCTCTCGAGCTCGTCTTCACTACGCGACACACCACAATCGTGGCATCGGCGTCGAAAGGCATTGCGAATATGGCCCGGCGCAAAAGCCATTTCTGGATTTGACAATTGTCCGCGACATTTTCTTTTCCGAGATGCATGCGACTCGAGTCGGTGGGTTTCGCGGAAACCCCGTAAATCATATAAACGAATTGCTCTTACATGGATAATGCAATAATGGAGCTGCGTTCGCCTAATAGTGAGGTACTAGCCGTATGTCCTCGAACAAACTTGAACTTGACCGGTTCATAAACCAAGCGACCGGATCGAAACCACCCAACCAGCCATCCGAACACGATGCCCCCTTTCCATCCAATCCGCATTCTACCACATGGCAGCCAGTTCATAGTACGGTCGAATCCTTGTTCTCGGTCGTATCACACCGCCATCGCCAAGTTCACCACGATCGATCCAAAACGTATACCTGTTTCCTACAATACCGGAATCATGATCGGCGAACCTGAAGAGAGCTATGTATATGTCGAGCCAGAGATTGGGAACGCCATTCAACTCGCGATCGTCCGACAACTTGGGCCCAACGCGACAAGTCGCTTCAAAACTCTTGCCCTCCAATTTCACCACGATTCTCACCACTTTGCACACGGTATGTGCTGCCACGCCTACGCCATGGCTTGGCCTAAATTGACCCATGGCAGAATCTGTACCTCTTCCTCGCATCGACATATTCCGCAACTTGGGCCGGCCAAACTGCGACAGTACATGTAGCCCCGCCACGCTCTGGCTGTCGGGTAACTGGCACGCCATCACGCTAGACGGAACACCAGATGGTGAGTACCAAGTAACGTGATGATAAACGCGGTGTGGAAAGATGCAAAATGTTCTTGTTAATCTGAAGACAGAGAGTTTCGAGCGGATGTCGAGGGAAAGCGCTTGCGAGCTCAGAGGCGCACTTGAGAGGTTAAAGAACAGCTAGTCTGGTACTTGTCGATTGTGCAGAGGATCTGGGTCATGAAATACAATCGACTGAGACGGCAGCCCACGTTCCCAGCCCGCCAGCTATATTACGAGCTCTCTGCCTCTACATTCTGGCAAAGACAAGCCCATCATTTATATCGCCACTATTACGATTCTCACTCTCCCCTCTCTGCCGCCCCCCTTTTTTTAACCTTGTTGGCTCTGCTCCATGTACTGTCGGATTTCCGAAGCAATATGAGGAACTGGTGTTGTGATGTTATTCTTATAGAAGGCGGCCAAACTCTCAGCACTCCATTGATTTTGCGATGGCAACATGAGCGCTCTGCAGCTGTTGGTCCATCTTTTGCCTAGGGCGGTCTCGACATGTCGAGACTGTTGGATCCGCAGCGTCGAGACGTTCAGTTTGTGCCGGATTAATCGATGGTGGTCCATCGCTGACCCGTTACCACTTCTGCGCGTGACCTTGTTGTCATTGACATGTCAAGTTTACCCATCCGTTGAGTGTTGGCTCGGGTGTTTCCAAATGACTCTGTTCTGGCTTGCTTGGTGCACAGATGAGCCAACGCGCACTTGAGATAAACTCACACGAGCATGTGGGTTCCATGTTGGATATTGTCGACATGCCGGTCTTGGGCTCAGCATGTCGAGGCTGCAGAGCAATCAACTAAATCCCAGCTTGTATTGAGAGGCGGCGCACATGCTACTCTGTCAATAATGGTAATCTGGTTGCATTCGCATGTCCATGTCCACGTCATTTGGCATCTGCAAGTAAGCGTGGGGACACGCGGTCTGAAGCCAAGCAGCCATGTCCACGTAACTCCAGACGTTGCCGTGTTTCCCCTGGAGTTTGTCGTTCAGCTTAATGTTCCAGAACCCACCGTCGACGCTTCCGTCTTCAGCCTTACGGCGCCCGAAGCCAATCGAGCCGCCTCCAGATGTCCCCGCAGCACTTCCTGGCGAGGCGCTGCGTAAGAGCTGACGAGCCGTCATCCTACACCATGATTATATTTTCTCCCTCTTTTTTTAGTAAACAAGAGACAAAAAACGAAAGGAATAAGCATTAAACAGCCGCTATTTCACGCCTCGTGCTCTACACTTCATTTCAAAAGCGGCGTGTCCTCCCTAGTTGTCGCGAATCGTGGCCAATGAGCGCATCGACGGCCAACAGCCATCAACAGTGACAACCCCTCGCCATGGATAGCTTCTCGCCCGCTTCCCTCTACCCCCTCTGCTCTGCCATAACCCAACACGCCGTCTCCAGCACGGCCGAAGCCCAAAGCCTCCTTCAGTCAGCCCCGCAAAGCAATCAAATCACCAGCCAAATCGCCGCGCTGTCGGCGTCGTTCCACGCGGCCAGTGTCCAAGTCACCCACCTGGAGCACGCGCTTCGCAATGCGGCCGCGATTTCTGCGCGGATGCAGAGCGTCCTTACGGAAAACTTGACCTCGTGCAACTCGCTAGCTGCCAGACTACACAAGCAAATGATGCGGCTACACCGAGAGAACCTGAAGGATGTGGATGCTCGCTTCGTCGCGGCGCACCTCGCCGCCTTGACGACGTACCAAGGCTTATTCCGGCATCTCTCACAAACACTATCCATGTGAGCAGTGCCGCAGCTGCTTCTCGGGCAAAGCGTCTCAAGCTAATATCCCATAGTCATCAGAGAGACGCCCAAGACGCCAACATGACCAGTTTGAGTGCCCAGCAACTAATTCAACAAGCAGCCAGTGCCTCGCAGGCGGCATCCCAAACCACAAGTATCCTGCTGGATGACAACGTCACGCAGGGCTGCAGCCCGCCAGCATTTAACAATCTCCCTCATCGCCCGAAGAACCGAGACACGCCACAAGATGAGCCCCCGCCATACGCGCCAACTGACCCTTCGTCCTCCAATTCTCACCAAGGCCCGACGCCTCCACAAACCGATGCCGGTCCAAGCGGCTTCTCCCTCGGAAGAACCCTGAAAGCGTTTGCGCATTCCCTGATGCCAAAACCCGACCCCTTCGTCAACGCCCTGTGCCAGGCCGTTACAAACGGCGACATCCAGCAGGTAACGGGGCTCCTCTCACAGGGGATCAACATCGACGGCAAGGGGGAAGCGGGCAAAACGCCGCTGCAGTGTGCCATCGCGGCAGACCAACAAGACGCCGCCGAGGTCCTGCTCTCCGCCGGCGCCAACTACACATCCCCCGGCGGATGGGGCCACGGCATGCCGCCCATGTTCCAGGCCGCCGCAGCCGGGCGCGTCGGCATCGCCCGGCTCATCATGGCCCGGGGCGTGCAGGCCACGGAGACGAGCATAACCGGCCAGCCGTACCTCGTCGACGTCGTCGGCAGCAACAACCTCGACGGCGTGCGGTTCCTCCTCGACCACGGCGCCAGCCCCAACTCGTCCAGCATCTCGGGGCGCCGCGTCCTCGCCCAGGCCGTCGCGCAGAGCAACCCCGAGCTCGTCGAGCTCCTCGTCAAGCGCGGCGCCAGCCCCAACACCCCCGACATGACGGGTGGCTCTGTCCTCGCCGTGGCCGCGGAGAAGGAGGACCTCCGCACCGTCCGGACCCTGCTCGAAAACGGCGCCGACGTCGACGGTACGACTGTCTACGGCGCAACCGTGCTCGTGGACGCCATCGCCCGGAATCGCCTGGACCTAGCGCGCGTCCTGCTGGAGCACGGCGCCAGCGGCGCCAGCGACGACGTCTCTGGCCAGCCTGTTATTCTCGCCGTCCTCAAGAGCCACCGCATCCAGCCCGGCGACAAGGTCGACCTAGTCGGACGGCTGCTCGAAAACGGCGCGCCCCCCAACGCCAGGGACCTCGCGGGCACGCCTGCGCTCTGCTTGGCGCTCGACGCCGCGACCCCCGACCTGGCACGGGTGCTCGTCGAGCACGGCGCAGACACAAACGCCGCCACGGGCGCGGGCGAGCCGCCGCTCCTGTATGCCGTAGACAAGGGGCACACGACCCATGCGAGGATGCTGCTGGAGCACGGGGCGGACGCAAACGGCGCCCAGAGTGCGCGGGGTGAGACGCCCCTCGTGCAGGCCGTCGCCAGGCAGGACGTCGAGCTCGTCAAGTTGCTGCTGGAGCACGGGGCAAGTGTCGATGTGCGCGCCGTGGAAGCCGCGGGCACAAGCCGACCCGACATGTTGCACATCTTGGGCTTGGACAGAGTCCATCCCCCAACTTACCAGGCGTCGAGTTCGTGAGGACGGGAACACATTTCCAGAGAGTGGGCGTAAGAATCATCCATGTACGTAGTATAATAGTAGCAACCGGTCTATACGCATGTAGTCAAGTGCCCGAGTAAAAACCCCCCCAATGCTTAAACGCCCAAGTAATGCCCCCTATTGTCCCAGGATGCTCCTCAGCCACCACGCGTGGATGCGCGCATCGCCCGTCAACTCCGGATGGAAGCTGGTCCCGAGCACATTGCCCTGGCGCACGGCGACAATGTCCCCCGAGCCGTGCTTGGCGTTGGCCTGCGAGACGCCGGCCGCGGCCCTGTCCAGGCGCCCCGGCAGCGTGGCCAGGACCTCGACCTCGACGCCGGAGCCGGGGCCCGCGAGGACCTCCTCCACGACGGGGGCGCGGATGAAGACGCCTGGGAAGGGGGCGGCGTCGTCCCCGAGAAACGCGAGGTCCAGGTCCGCCTCGAAGCTCTCCGTCTGCCGGCCAAAGTGGTTGCGGTGGACGCGCACGCCCAGCCCGCCGATGAGCTCCTGGCCGCCCTTCTTGGTGGCGTTGGCCTGGTCCGAGAGCAGGATGAGGCCGGCGCATGTGCCCCAGACGGGCTTCTTTTGGACCCTGCAAGAGGTGAGCGTGTGTGGTGAGTTGGGGAGCAGAAAGGGGGCAGAACCAACTTTACGTAGTCTCTTAGCGGTTCGAGCAGGCCAGATTGCGCGGCGACAAGGGAGATGGTGGTGCTTTCGCCGCCGGGGATGATGAGGCCGTCGCACCGGGCGAGCTCTTGGGTGGTGCGCACCTCGATGACGGAGACGTGCAGCTTGAGTCGGTCGGCGGCCTTGCGCACGAGGTTGATGTGTTCGATGAAGCCGCCCTGGAGGGCTAGGACGCCAATGGTGAGGAGGATCATGGCGACGGCGCGGGTTTTCTGCCTGGAGGGTTTGGCGAAAAAATATGGCAAGGCGAGTGTACGAAAGGACGCAAGGGAGTGAAAAAGACGCAGATGATGCTTGAGCACGCAGGAGCTGGACAATCTATGAGGTGAGTTGAGACGAGATGATGAGATGAGTTTCATGGGCAAAAGGCAAAGTAACCATGTGCCTGGTAGATAGTACGGAGTACTCCGTACATGGTGGTCGGGTACGGTACGGAGCACCTAGAGATAAAATGACTAACGCAAACGATTTCATGACTCCATAAAAATCATCTTGGGGTGCGAGTGCCGTGGCGACGGCGAGAGTCGGGACTGGCGAGACGGGCGGCGGGTCCGCCTTTGCAGTCGACAAGGTCGACGTCTGGATGGGTTTTTTTTTTCGCAATACAACGTCAAGTCCGAAATGCTGGGTTCAAACGGCCCATGCCATGCCGGCGCCAGCAGGGTGCGCACATGGGTCACATTCCACAGCAGACGCGCATGCAGTCGCTAATGCAAGCACCGGCAGCCTCGGCCTGCAGCGGACCGTCTTGAAGCAGCAAGACATTTCAACGCCAAGTGACTCAAGTCTGGTCGGATGTCGAGATGGGAGGCGGCATGGCACGGCTGTCCAACCGGCGCTCGCCCAGGGACAATCAATGTACTTAGTATGTAAGCCCCCCTCTGACTACAGCCAAGGTGCATCCGCGTGCGCATGCATGATGCTTAGGGCGCGCCCGTAGTCGTGGCCTTGGGAGACCAGTCAGTCTCATGGGCTTCTTTTTGGCTTCTTCCCCTTTGCAGCCACCATTTGGTGTTGCGGCAGGTATACAGTGGTTGTAGATGCGCCAATACCTTGGGTGGCATGCGCAGTGGCCGAGCTGCTGTCTGGGCTCTGGAATCATGTATCGATTCATCAGATGTACTTGACCGGACATACCACTGTATATTGGGTGCGGGGCTGCCAGGCGATGGCCGCCGCCGATTGCCAGGTGCGCCAGGCACGCCCTTTCTTTGACCTCGAGCCCACCGTGGTTTTCATGTCTGCCGAGTCATTCCAGATAGTCGATGTCGGGATGCATCAGATGGAATGGCACCCACGACATTGTTGCCTGTATTCTACTTTGGAGGTATTGACGCATTACGGCATCGATCTGGCCTTTGAATTCTTGCCCAAGGCTACCAGCACATTGGTTCCCCCGATGCGAGTCTTGTTTCGTCCAGATTCAGTGCATCCGATTGCCACGTGAACGCCCCCAATGTCGAGATCTGGGCATGGCTTCTCATCTTGTCCGGCCCCACGTCCAGCAGGGCTGAATGAGTGTACTACCAGACTGCATGTTCGTCCACGTTCTACAGCAGACGGAGCTCTGCGATGCGGCTGGCTTGCGCTCGCTAGGGATCTGGGCCGTTGCTGCATTTATTGACCATTTCGTAATCGTCGCCGGAACCCGACGATTGCCGCGCCGCTGGAGGACCTGTGGCGGACTGGCCTCGATGCTAGGCGTCAGCTGGTCCCTGAGGTCGCCTGCTGTGTGCGGCGACAGTGGCGGCGCCGCCCGCGGCTCCGGCCAAGTTGGATTTTTCAGAGCTGGAGTTGATGGTGGGATCGAGGGTTCAATGTTGGGTCTCAGTCTGGCCTAAAACATGCTGCCGGATAGGAAACCCAGGAAGGTGTCGACCGGACAGGTACTATTGGCAATGGATTGACCGGCTTGACCAGCGCTCGACGAGAAACGGCCTTGGCGCGCTCCGTTGTCGGTCGGTCGGTCGGTCAGACGGTGAGCTTTCGAGTCATCTCGACGCCTTCCCCCAGACGTCAAGATGGCATGACGGAGCTTGAGCGCCAGGCAATGTAGCCCGGCCTAGAGCACGGAGCAGTTCAACCGTACTTGCCCAATTCAACTGCTCCGTTCTTTCCATGCCATTCCGCAACGGGAGGCTTCGACTGGGTTCTCGCCTCCCCTGCCCCACCTTCCACGACCACCACCCCTCCTGTGATGCATGCTAGGCCAGCCCATCCCCGAGGGTCCTGGCTTTTCTTCGTCTGGCTGGGTCCTGCATGCTGCCCCTCCATCGGTCTGCTCCTTCCACACCTAACCCCACCATGATTGGCAAAAAAAGAGCGTAATACAAATACATTGTTGCCGTTTTTTTCTCTCCCTCCCACGAGACGGGCATTGTAGATATTTTCCTCCCCTTCTCTTCCCCCTCCACAGTTGCTCCCCGGGCGTTTATTACTGCTCCATACCCCAGCTTTTGCTCTTCCCCTCCGACACCCTCCACGCACAGCAACCACCACATCACCTACCATCGCAATGGCCAACGAAACTGCCGCCGCCGCTGCCAATGGCGCTGCTCCCAAGTCCACCTTTGCCGTCAAGGCCGGTCTCGCTCAGATGCTCAAGGGCGGTGTCATCATGGACGTGACCAACGCCGCGCAGGCCCGTATCGCTGAGGAAGCCGGTGCTTGCGCCGTCATGGCCCTCGAGCGTGTCCCCGCCGATATCCGAAAGGACGGCGGCGTTGCCCGCATGTCGGACCCTACGGTCATCAAGGAGATCCAGGCCGCCGTCACCATTCCCGTCATGGCCAAGGCCCGCATCGGCCACTTTGTTGAGTGCCAGGTCCTCGAGGCTCTCGGCGTCGACTACATTGACGAGAGTGAAGTTCTGACCCCCGCCGATGACGAGAGCCACGTTGAGAAGAGCCACTTCAACTCTCCCTTTGTCTGTGGCTGCCGCAATTTGGGCGAGGCCCTGCGCCGCATTGCCGAGGGCGCTGCCATGATCCGGACCAAGGGTGAAGCCGGTACTGGCGATGTCGTCGAGGCCGTTCGCCACATGAAGACGGTCAACAAGCAGATTGCTCAGGCCAAGGCTGCTCTCGCCGAGGGGGGCATCATCCGCATCCGTGAAATGGCCCGCGAGCTCGAGGTCGACGCTGAGCTTTTGCGCCAGACTGCCGAGCTCGGTCGCCTGCCCGTTGTCAACTTCGCCGCTGGCGGTGTTGCTACCCCCGCTGACGCTGCCCTCATGATGCAGCTCGGTTGCGACGGTGTCTTTGTCGGCAGCGGCATCTTCAAGTCTGGCGACCCAGCCAAGCGCGCCAAGGCTATTGTCCAGGCCACCACTCACTTCAAGGATGCCAAGGTTATTGCTGAGGCCAGCACCGGTCTCGGTGAGGCCATGGTCGGTATCAACTGTGACAGCATGAAGCCCGAGGAGAAGCTTGCCACCCGCGGTTGGTAATCGACCAAGACCGAAAACAACATCATCGACGAATGTCCCGTGGGACACAAACACCAAATAAAGGAAGAAAAAAAAAGGATATGTTGCATATAGACATATAATTTTTGCGACTTTGGGCAGGCGTTTGATCAGGGTGTGGACCTCTACTTTTATGCCGTTAAAGCAGTCATGAGAAGATTCATAGGACCTTGAAATGAATAAAATTGAACAGGCCAAATTTCCATCATGGAGCATGTCGGGAGTCACAACTGTGAATGGCAGACACGGCCTAGTTGCTAGTCGGTTGCAATGTTGCAAGCTGGAATTGGCTTGCTGAGGTGAAGCAAAACATTCTCCGTGTGATGTGAGACATGACCGCCGGGCCATGATCCCCGATGCCCATCTATCACAAATCAATGGGAGATGCAACCAAACGTCACACAACATGCCCCCAGAATCTGAGATTGGGTTGGCTTGGGCAGAAACGTCACCTTGATCGGCTTTCAGACCACCCACCTAGCTGTCTCGTCCGACTTGGCCGCCAATGAATTCCTCCAAGATCTATATGCTGTGCTCGGATCAACCCGAAAGATTCTTTCCTCATCGGTACAGCATAGCCTTGTCGACTACCATGCCACGTGTCTCACCCGGGCATAATGCACATGTATGTGCATGGAGACGCAGATCTGTGTAAGTCTATTGGGCAGTGTGCGGAGTGCATACAGAATTTCCGCAGTGTCTCGGAATTTTCGTCAAGGCTCGCGGCAGACATACTCCGTACAGCGTCGTCTCAGCAAGCAAAGTTTCAAACCAGCAATACTCTGTACAAATTCACCTATGCCGAGACAAATCCAAATCACATATCACTTCTTGGAACAATCTTCACGCCCTCCATCGTCCCTTGCGCCCTCCAGCGCTCCAGGATACATGTGCCAGTATCCCAAGAGGGTAGATGCTCACCCTCGCGAGTCGCGGCCTTGATCTGCTCCCCGGGGGACAAGGTCCTCGTGCCGCCGTCGTCGTTGAAATAGCTCGGTCCGCATATGTCCATGGGCGAGTGGAACGCGGACCTGTCAAGTATACGACTTGCCCACGCCTCGGCCGCTTGCACCAGATGGGATACCAGGCCTTCGGGGCGCTGTTCAGGGCCGGTCGTTGGCTAGGGCCTGGCGGACGGGCTCTGGTATCTGCTCCGCGGTGTGCGGCTCGTGCTGCCCGCCGGCCGGTGAGGTGTCTGCACGTCTGGTCGTGGATTCGCTCCATCGGTCCTGTATCGCGTTGTCGCCCATGGCGTGGCCTGCCTGCCGCACCAGTTTTCGTTGCGTGCCCGCCACCAGCCCTTGGTGAGCGTCATCTGCCGCCATTCCTGCGCGTTTGTGCGCCTCTGGTCGCGTTCGTCAACGTTGGAGGGCGTGCGTTGGAACACGTGTAGCTCGTCTGCCCATCGGGCACACTCTGGTGACTGCCAACTGGATGGCTGTGGCTTCGGTGCCCACGGTGCCGGCCTTCTTCCCCTTGAGGCCGGATAGCGTCCACTCGTCGGGTGAGCGCCTCCGGATATGTCGTATTCTCAGCGGCCGGTGTGCATCTCCTGGCCGGAGAAGGTGTCTAGCCCAGGAATCTTGGGCGTCTTGGGGGGTTGAACACGCCTCCTGCGATGATGGCAGACTGCGCCGTGACAGCCATTTCGACGGACGGCTCTCTAGGTCCGTGATCTTGCGTCAGCTGCACTCTCTGGCGTTTCTGCTCCTTGATCCAGTCATATGTGCGGGCTTGCGTGCGGAAAACCCCCTTGTGCGTGGTTCTATTTCTCCGCGATGTGGATGATGTACCGTCTTATTTCGGGGCCGTGGGGGAAGCGATGGCCGGGCATGTGTCCGGTTTCTTCGAGCAGGGGCATGTAAATGGAGGCTTCCACGTCGACCATGGGGCCTGGGTATCTGTTCCAGTACCACGTTCCCCCGAACACGCCGGCAGTGTCGACGAGGCGGATATTGTCGGGGTCGGTGCCAGCTTCGACTTGGTGTACGGCGTGGAGGAGCCTGGAGAATCCGCAGCCAAGGATCAGGACAGGACTTTGACGCTGTCGCCGTCTTGGGGGTTGAGCATTTGTGCGTTGAAGGGGTCTTTGACGAGGTCTGCGAGCGCAGGGGACTGCGCTTCGGCAAGCTCCATGTATTGGGCGCTTCCGTCGGATCGAAACCGTTTTGCTGACTCCTCGGCGTACTTGTTGGTGAGCGAATCCATGTCCGGAGGTAGGACGTGGCACGCTTGGCTTATCGTCTGTTGTCATCTTGGCGATGTGGTTATTGCGAGTCACGGAGTCTGTCTGCTTGCAGTTGTTCTTTCCCTTTGTTTCCATGGCTATGTCAACAATTGTTTGACGTCTTAGGGTTCTAGCTCCTCTTCAGAATATTTTGCCGGGAACCTTTAATGACGCTCATTGGCATTTTTATAGCCACCTCCTTAGTTTCTTCCTCAGGTTGTCTGTCACCTCTGGTGAGTGCTCTCAGATTGATCCAGGCAATCACATAAGTGGACCCATCTGGAACTCTGTCACGATATACGTGGGATCCCTTCGCCAGGAGTTACAAAGTTGTGTCCAAAACGTTGTGGCCTTTTTGCGAAACCTTATAAAGGCAAATCAGGATCGAATAAAGCATTTTATTGCACCGGAGATTTATCATATGCTATACAGCTATGTTAATGAAGGCATGCAGGTTTTAAGGCTGTGTTTGCCCCGGCAAGTTGAAATACGTCTTGCGAGAATCTAAAACTCTAGGAACTACATACATTCGGAACATATCCTTTAACCAAATTTTGGAGGATGGAAAGTTGATTGGAAAATTTAACACTATTTATATCCCTGGGCTACTTGGCAAACCTGGCCGATTTGCCTTTTCATCTGATACTCTGCGCAGCGACTCTTACAAATAGATACTATTCGTTTAGCGGATTGCTACCAGACCAGAAGTTTGTGATTATGGCGAGGCAGCTTTG